CCCAAAAGTTGAATTTTATATCGAACATCACTTTTTTCTCTTGCGGACGATTGTATTGGAGTTTTCTCTTGATAATAATTATTCAATGATTTCATGCAATCGGCAAAAACTACACGCTCTCTGTGAAAAAGATCCATCAAAGCGAAGCTTTTTTCCCATGTCAACGTCTAAAAGTGTACCCTGAACGAAAATAGAAAAGAATATGTTATTATGCTATATGATCCAAAAACAAAAATGTCGAAAACCGCATAAAAATCGGTCATCCCAATACCGAGATATTGACGTGTAAATTGTACGATTTTCACCTGTCCTTCTAGATCTTCTACTACATGTAATAAGCATAATCGTAACTCGCGGTGATTTGGCCCATATCGGTTGTGACGTCACAAGTTCAACGCTTGAAAAGATTACAGAATGACCCAAACACCTCTTTTAATGTATTTTTAGATATATTATGAAAAGACACTTCACTTATAAAATAACAGTCTTTATCATCGTAAGTCCATCATTTCAGACGTAAAATATATAGTTGACACTGTGAGCTTTAAAATAAAAAATAAAAAGGACACTCAGTCACCTTTATTGTGGCACAGATGTTATAGGACAGAAAAAGACTGACGATCTAACAAATTGATCTACCCGACGATCGATCCAATCCAGTTCATCTACACACGATAAGAATCTGAACAGCGTAATCAAAAACACATCGTAATATGTAATATGACTTTATGAAGTAGAGCATGTTACAATTACAAATGACACTATTTCAGTACAATTGAAACCCGTGTAAAGGATCTAAATATGGTATATTCAAGATAATCTGAGTTAAAATTTGCCATCTTGTATATATGTATATCAAAATATGTTATTGGGAAAAGCCTTTATATAAGTTGTACAACTTGTACCCAATCCCTTTCGTAAAACAGATGCAAATAAAAATATGTTTAAGCTAATAAATAGTCTGACAACATTACTATCTCAATAAAATAACACTGATATGGCCAAAATAATTTGTTGAAGAACTTATTATTATTGTGCAGTGAAAACAAGGTTTAGTCGTGTTTGTAGTGTCATCTACATGTATATGCGTACGTATTTTCCCCAGAGGTATTTTGTAATGTCATAATAGGATTTTGATTTGTTTCCAGTTAATAAGAAATGTCATCTTGCTAGCTCGATAGATGATTACTAAATTGCAAAATGTTTATTAACTCGTTTCTAATGGCATTTAGGATCCCTGTTCCACTTCAGGCAAAACACTAGGGAAGAAATCCAGTGCAATGTTGATACAGTTACAGTTAACTCCCCTTGATGCGGTGGAGCATTTAGCTGTGATTGCAAGCCCAGGGTTCGAATCCCGGCTTATCCCGTTGTATTTTCATTTTAGGAACACTTTCTGTTTATTTCGGGTTTTTTTCATTATTTCACCTTTATTGTTTCAATCGGACACTAAAATAAAAAGCATGGATTGCAATTATAATTATTTTGAATTTTCACCAGTGCTTTATCATGACCTTGTCTCGAAAATACTCAAAAGACTTTAACAATTGCCTCTTTCTTTTGAATATTATTGTTTTATCAAATTAAGCAAAAGATAGTATACAAATCTGAACATTAACTATATACATTGAAGAACAAATGCAGAGAAAAGGGTCATGTAGAGTGCAGTATAAGATATGGCACGTCGCAGTAAAATGGTAATCATAGTAATCATAGTAATCTTCCATCATTGGAAATCTCGATAGAGATTATTGCGATGCCTCTTCTTTTTGCTTTATTCACGTTAACTAGTAATGTAATACATTAACAGGTAATATACCAGCAATCCATTAAAATGGTAATTAGAACACAGACTATAATTGATGATAAGACATCAGATTCTATAACGCTTAGTGTATGTTGGGTACGGTGAGGTTTGATGCGAATGGATTGGTTTTCATTCGATCCGTGATCCGGTTTTTTATTTTCGTTTTGGCTATATTTAGCCGTAACTCAATACTCTTAAATTGTGATTAAAGGGGGATAAGTCTTACCTTCTTAAGATTTGTGTACACGAAGGTGTGGCGTGTTACGGTATGTTATGCAAAATATGGAATTAAAATACAAAATAAAATGCCATTTGTTAAGATCCCGAAAAGGTAAGTGGACGCTGCATATCTATGGAAACAGGACCGTTTAAAAACATACGATTTTGCAGGACGTGAAACACTAAATGATTTAAAGACGTATTACTGAAAAAAATGTAAAAAAAAAAAAAAAATGTAAGGAATTAATTATATTACATCTGTACATCACGGTCTAGCGTTAACTTGATGTAATGATATTATGTCGATTCTCAATTGCATTATTGCAGCGTGTACATGTCACTATTCAATTGCTGTGTGTAAAATATTAAATTTATTAAAGTATAAGATTTTGACTTTGATTGTTTTCTATAATTCGGGTTAACTGTGCCAAACACAAAAATACTCAACAGTTAGAAAACTTTCGTCCCACTATTTTTTTTGTATTAATTTCTATTTTTCCTTCGTTTTATTGTATTATTATTATATTATTTCTATTTACATGAAAAATATCTAAAAAAAGAGTGACGGAGTGATTCCATTCCTATACATTTATACACATTTAGGTATGCTGACATGATCTTTTTTTAAGACATACCTAATACAATATGACTGAAATTAATTGAAACAGTGGATTAAGAATACTAACCGTTTAAGATAAATGTACATAAGAACAAAAAAGAGAAAGAGAGAGATGAGACAGATCGGAGAAGGAATTCCATCACACAAACACATACACTATACAATATACCTCTTTTAAAACCAGTATTCAATTTTATTTGTTTTTAAAACCATCAACTTCATAAACAGGACCATTCATAATAGGATTGTAATTCAAGCCAATATGGAGTGTATCCCTAGGAGTGTGAATTTGAATGTCTTTTGAAAATGCTCACATTCTATGAAGAATGTTTCGTTCTTGAATGATAATTTATCTTATGTCAACTGGCCCTGAGAACTTATAATTACAAGTACATGTAAGACATAAAACCAGCTATTAGTCAGTTTCATTTATCTTGGCATTTGACCTCAGTTTTCCGCTAGAGAAATGTTACATTTACCTTTTAGTGTTTAGATGTACGATGACCGTACCTGTGGTCGTGGTGTCGGATCGTGGCCGACACACATCATTGGATTGGACAGGAAACACTATACCGGGTACAACAAGTGGTGTGGGAAACGTGTACATATCGGACATACCATTACTTATCTGTTTCTTGTGCAGGTTCATGTTGTGTTTCCTTTTGTTTTGGTGTCTCCTCAGTTCGTTTTGTTTTTCCTTTTGTTTTGGTGTCTCCTCAGTTCATATTGTCCTTCCTCTTGATTTGTCGTCACCTCAGTACATGTTGTGTTTCCTTTTGTTTTGGTGTCCCCTCAGTTCCTTTTGTCTTTCCTTTTGTTTTGGTGTCTCCTCAGTTCCTGTTGTCTTTCCTCTGGTTTTGGTGTCTCCTCAGTTCCTTTTGTCTTTCCTTTTGATTTAGTGTCTCCTCAGTTCCTTTTGTCTTTCCTTTTGATTTGGTGTCTCCTCAGTTCCTGTTGTCATTCCTCTGGTTTTGGTGTCTCCTCAGTTCCTGTTGTCATTACTCTGGTTTTGGTGTCTCCTCAGTTCCTTTTGTCTTTCCTTTTGATTTAGTGTCTCCTCAGTTCCTGTTGTCTTTACTCTGGTTTTGGTTTCTCCTCAGTTTCTGTTTTCCTTCCTTTGGTTTTGGCGTCAACTCAGTACATGTTGTGTTTCCTTTTGTTTTGGTGTCTCCTCAGTTCCTGTTGTCTTTCCGCTGGTTTTGGCGTCACCTCAGTACATGTTGTGTTTCCTTTTGTTCCTCCTTAGTTCCTGAACTCTGTTGCCTTACCTTTTGTTTTGGTGTCTCCTCATTCCTGATGTTGTCTTTCCTTTTGTTTTGTGTCTTTTTGATTGTTGTTGTTCGTTTTATTTTTGTTGTTTATATCAACCTTAACTATAGATTTTGTTCACACGAGTTATTGTTTTACCTGAGTACTGAGTAGAAAGGGAAAATTAGTGTAATAGAAATAACAAACCGTTTGATGAAAATGGATTTCTTTTCTTTTCTAGATTTCTAATTGATAAATTAATACAGCAAAGATTAATGTATGAATAATCAATTTAAAAAGCATAATGTGAATTATACGTTTACAAAATGGTCTTAGGTTGAAAATGTAATTATTTCCTTACTTTATAAAGACAAGTTATGGGACTGGAAACATTTTGTACCACATTACCAGTCACGTAAGTTTCAGTTACAAGGGGGACTGTTAACGTTGTTGATTTTATTCATTACAAATACTTAAGAAAATCTTAAGGGAATTGGAATTAAAATTCCACTTAAATTGAAGTCAAGTTATTTAATATTAGGTTAACTGTAAAGGAACCGAAGAAAGGTATACTTACCTGTATGCTGAACCCAGTTGGAAGCAATCTTATTTAAAGAACTATTCACTTCATTTGTTGAAAGTATAGTCGGCTTATCAAGATAATTAAGATTGAAAACGTTGGAGCGTCCCTTTAAAATTTATCTTGATCTTAGCACTTAAGTCTTTAAAAGGTATATTTGTCGAAAAAAAAAGTGTATTCGATGCATGAATTATTTGGTTTTCCTACGAGATCTGGTTTGAACGTTTTGTTTGATGTTGTTTAAGACTGACTATGGTGTTGAATAACGTACCTGACCTCTGATTATCCATTAGCGTTAAACTGATTAGACCCGAGAAACATTACTACCGGGAACCTCTTTATCTGAGCCCACGTTATGCTTCATGAATAAGAAATTTTAAATCCACAAAGAAAATATCATTACATGGTACCCGTAGTTCATTTATGTAATGTAAATCGCTGAAATGGACACACTATGATTCTGACATCGCGTGCTCATTATCTCTTTTGACAATATCTTCCAGCCAATCAATGCCGTCGACACATTCCACAATGCGCCTGTCGTGATTTTCATTGATTCCCCATAAAGTTGGTTTAGTTCGAAACCGGAGTGTCAGCGAGTAAACATGGAAATGGAAACATTGTAGGATTTTAATGATTTATAAGTTCAAAAGAAAGTTGTGATTTCAGCATGACACATTTACGAACAAGCATGTCAGGAGTACTTGTGGCGTTGGTTGTTATGTTGCAAGGTAAGTACTTGTGTCCGATTTCACTCTGTCGAGACGTGTGTACCAATATATTTGTGTGTATACTATAGTACATGTTTTGTTTTGCCATATAAACCTTACACTGTGACACCTATACAATACTGAGTACTATATAATCTAGTTGTGAGTTTGAATAGTCATGTCTTGTAATAACCTTTCTCGTGTATACTTGTACGAACATTCAGAGATAATTTAGACTCATACGAACTACAGTAGTCTAAAAGCCAGATAATACGAATATAATGTGATCAGAACTATCATTTCATTTTCTCATCGAAACATAAGACTGGAAAATTAAACTAATCCTCGGCCATTCCCGTCCTTTCTAATGTTGTACGTCACCGCTCTAGCCCCTAACACAATCGAAGTGTCAACCTACACGTTCTCCCCGTATACATTGTAAATATTTCAAAACGAGCAGATGAGGATATTTCTAAAATATTTCAAAATGAATGCAGAAGGGGTCTCCAAGGTTTGGAATACTAAATGACGTCATGTTATTAATTAAAATGACAAGGGAAAGTACAGTCCAGCTCCGGACGCTCATATGATCATTCCAACCTTATACCATACGAGTGTCCGAATTTTGACCAAGAGGAATGAGGAACATGTACACTAAACATAGCACTCCTAAGGACACCATTCTATATGTTAATAACAGTTCAATACTTCAAAGATTTTTTTTTATTATCACTTAGTGTTATGGCTTAATGCTTACTGTACTTTAGTAGTTTTAAACATTCTAAAACAGCATTGAAACAATAAATGTTAATAAGAAATACATTAAAAAATTGTTTCTAAAAAAATACGCAATAGTTTTCCGCCCCAAATCATTGTGTATTCATTGTATGATACCGTTAATATGCAACAAAGTTCCAAAGCGACATTTCAAAAAGATTAATTTAGACTTTAATGTTGTGTCATTTTAAAAACAATGGCACCGAGTCAAATGTTTTAGTGTGTGATATGATCGGTGTTGAAGATGTGTTGAGTATTAAACAATGCCGTATTGTGACACACGCTTGAATTTTGTCTCTACACAAATATTCACGGCACTTGGGTCACTGGTCCCAATTAATTATTCGTATACAGATACACCAGTGGGTCAGGGGAGATGTGTATCGTATAACACTTGTCGAAAAACAGCATTAATATATTGAATTACGTGTAGTCAGATGCGACCAATTGGGATTTATAATTGTGTAAAGGGGAAATAGGTTAGGTCCTATACTAGTATTACAACACCTACAGCACTCTGTCGAGTTAAATACACGCGCTACACGTCACTATTGACGGCAGCACCCTGTCGTAGGCCCCACAAAATTGTTGATATGTTTCAATTTAATAGGGAATGTGATGACGCATAGCTCAACCAAGAAAAGAAATATATAAATATAACATATTTTGTGAAAAACATCGTAGGTGAAGATCATAAGTATAACTCAATTTGATATAATTTTAAAATTAAAGTGAAATCAAAAGTGAAAGTGGAGCAACATTTGGCCACCCATTCCTTAATGACCAGGGTTCATACTTTTTGCGTCAATCTTTCAGAACATGTGCTAAGTGGGCCGAAAGTTTTGTAATGAAACAGCTCCAACATGGCAGTTTTTCAAGTTTTATCCATGCTACATTATATGTAAGGTATATATAGGGAAAGTGGAAAAATATTTTGTTTGTTTGTTTTAAGTTCAGTTACGAATGAGGACAAAAAATACAGTCCCTCTATATCCATAGATAGCCGTTACTGTTGTAAGCGGGTAACCGCCAACGGCCTGGTAAACATGCCTGTACTGTCTGTATGTTTACTAAAAAATAAAATGATGAAAGCACCTCTACCTGCAAACCCTCAAGTTTCTTTTGATTTATTACACGAGAAAAACATTTCGTGTGAGTTTAAACGTAGACAGGAATACATGTATGTACGCGTTAAATTCGGTGTTGATGTTGTTTTGTATCCACACGTTGTGGCCTGCTGCAGGACACATTACTATCTTCTTAAAATGTCTAAATGCTAAGAACATTAAGTGATACTTCATTAAGATTAAAAATCATTTTATAAATTTTTTAAACTTAAGTAAATTACCTTAGTAATGAGAAACCATAACATAAAATAGACGTACCGTCTCTCGGTGTCGCTAGCTTTAAATAAAATCAAGAAAAAAACCTGTGTGTACGTCAGTCATATGCTAACCTAAATATTCTCATATATTGGTATCCATGAAAAAGTAATTAATTTGATCTTATTTTATTCATACATTTAGAAATAAATATATAAACAGGAAAATCCAAACATACACTATATGCATAAGCAACAGTTGATGGAGTTCTAATTCAGATGTGTTGTCAACGAGACAATTTCAAAACATCAATAACCGATTTTTTAGCAAATCAGATACGCTTGACAAAATTCACACATTTGAAAAACAACCAGTTTATTTTATTGATGATTGTAATTTAATGTCATTTTATACAAAAGTAGGCCCTAATTTCACATTAATAACACAAAATGTAGATATACATACATACATATTATGTACAGAAACATTTGATTGTCCTGCAGTAGCTAGAATGTGAATTGAATTACCTTATATAAAGCTGGAGTGTCGTTAGTTATATTATTAAAATTTCATTTAGCCGACTCCCCGAGTAAAGAGTGTGAACACGTCACGGAAACGCTTTGAGGGAGGTATTAATGGAGAAAGCTTGTATAAGAGGTTTAATGTGAGCACATCAAACGCCCCAATGATTCAGATGAGTTGTTCTCTTTCGGATGCTAAAGGCTGCACTGGTGTTCAATATAAACGAGGGTGAATACGGGATTCTTTTGAAGGAAAGGGGATGGTCATTTATCGGTATGGTGTCTGGAAGGATTTGGTTTGCTGGTGTAAGATGTGTGTGTGAAAAGGGACTGTGTCGGTAGGTTACAGGAGGGACTGATGGTAAAGTTAAAGTAGACCGATTTTGGTTTCTGGTATGGATTGGAAAATGGGTGAAATTTGAATTGTGGGTAGAGTATGGGGTTCTATTGGTCTGGTAACTAATTGTTTTGGGAGAGGTTCGCACACATTGTTAGTTGTTACGGGGCCAGGGCAGAAATTTGGTTTGGGAAAGTTGTTATTGGTGGATTGTTCACCAAAACTTTCTAACATCCTAACAACATCAGCTTTTCAATACCTATCCAAAAACTGCTATTGATGGGATGTGAGCAGTTGTTGTTGGCAGTGTGTGGGATAACTGTTGTTTGCAGAGCGTGGAAAAATTGTTGTTGGCAGAGTGTGGGAAAGTTGTTGTTGGCAGAGTGTGGGAAAGTTGTTGTTGGCAGAGTGTGGGAATGTTGTTGTTGGCAGAGTGTGGGAAAGTTGTTGTTGGCAGAGTGTGGGAAAGTTGTTGTTGGCAGAGTGTGGGAAAGTTGTTGTTGGTAGAGTGTGGGAAAGTTGTTAAAGTGTGAGAAATGTGCTTGGGTAGAGTGCAGGAAATATGTTGGTAGAGTATGGGGAAGGTCTTGGTAGAGTGTGGAAAAGTTGCTGGTAGAGTGAGGGAAATATGTTTTGGTAGAGTGTGGCAAATATGTTGGTAGAGTGTGGGAAAGTTGTTTTGGAAGAGTGTGGGTCATCGATAATGGTAGAGTGAGGGAAATGTGATAGTAGAGTGTGGGAAAGGTGTTGGTGAAGTGTTGGAAAGATGTTGGTAGATTGTGGGAAAGTTGTTGGTAGAGTGTGGGAAAGGTGTTGGTGGAGTGTTGGAAAGATGTTGGGAGAGTGTTGGAAATGTTTTGGTAGAGTGTGGAAAAGGTGTTGGTAGAGTGTGGGAAAGGTGTTGGTAGAGTGAGGGAAATGTGTTGGTAGAGTGTGGGAAATGTGTTGGTAGATTGTGGGGAAGGTGATGGTAGAGTGAGGGAAATATGTTGGTAGAGTGAGGAAAATTTGTTGTAGAGGGTGGAAAAGGTGTTGCTAGAGGGAGGGAAAGGTGTTGGTAGAGTGTGGGAAAGGTGTTGGTAGAGTGTGGAAAAGGTGTTGCTAGAGTGAGGGAAAGGTGTTGGTAGAGTGTGGGAAATCTGTTGGTAGTGTGTGGGAAATGTGTTGGTAGATTGTGGGGAAGGTGATGGTAGAGTGAGGGAAATATGTTGGTAGAGTGAGGAAAATATGTTGTATAGGGTGGAAAAGGTGTTGGTAGAGTGTGGGAAAGGTGTGGGAAATATGTTGGTAGAGTGTGGGAAAGGTGTTGGTAGAGTGAGGGAAAGGTGTTGGTAGAGTGTAAGAAAGGTGTTGGTAGAGTGTGGGAAATATGTTGGTAGAGTGTGGGAAAGGTGTTGGTAGAGTGAGGGAAAGGTGTTGGTAGAGTGTGGGAAAGATGATGGTAGACTGTGGGAAATGTGTTGGTAGAGTGAGGCAAATATGTTGGTAGAGTGTGGGAAAGGTGTTGGTAGAGTGAGGGAAAGGTGTTGGTAGAGTGTGGGAAAGGTTTTGGTAGAGTGTGGGAAATGTGTTGGTGGAGTGTGGGAAAGGTGTTGGTAGAGTGAGGGAAAGGTGTTGGTAGAGTGTGGGAAAGATGATGGTAGAGTGTGGGAAATGTGTTGGTAGAGTGTGGGAAAGGTGTTGGTAGAGTGTGGGAAATATGTTGGTAGAGTGTGGAAATGTGTTGGTAGAGTGAGGGAATATGTTGGTAGAGTATGGGAAAGTTGTAGGTATAGTATGGTAAAGGTGTTGGTGTATTTTTGGAAAATTGTTTTGGTAGAGTGTGGGAAAGTTGTTTTGGAAGAGTGTGGGTCATCAACGATGGTAGAGTGTCGGGAAAGTTATTGTTGGTAGAGTGTCGGAGAGTAGTTGTTGGAAGAGTGTGGGAAATGTGTTTTAGATACGTAGAGTTTGAGAAAGTAATTATCGGTAGAGTGTATGGCGTGGTGAAGTTATTGTTGGAACAGTGTTGAGAAGTTATTGTCGGTAGAGTGCGGGAAGGTTACTTGCTATTTGCAATAATAG